GGGGGATGGCCACGCTGCAATCCCTTCTCCTCCATTCTCCTCTCGGGATCTTGAGCACATACGCACACGCACCCGGGTCTGGGACGCGAACCGCAGTCAACTACATGGGAGTCCAGCGACATAGCCACTACGCTCACTGCTGGTCCCTCAAATTTTTTTCTATACGGTAGTGGGCAACACTCTATTTTTATCAAATGAAACTAATTAAGTGAAAATATGTTTTTAGAGCAGATCAGCATGAGAATTTTGTTTTCATTTCTATCATCTGCTGTGTAGAGTTTAATTGTTTCATCTCCTTAACTCTGTTGAGTCTTTATACATATGCAATGGAGTTTTGTGCATTTAAAAATCAAAAAAAAATGGAAATAATAAGTCTTAAACTATGATAATTAAGTTATCAGTGTTAACTAATTATGGCTAAATGTGTAGCATCTAAAGACCAGGGCTGTGTTTGATCATTCATATAATCATACAATATTATGTGAGGATGTGATTCGTATCTATAGAAACTAGAAAAAAAATGTATATGCAGTCAAGATAATTATATTCCTTTTTTTTTTTGAGAGAGAGAGAGGTTTTTGCTATAGGGCGTGTGTGCTCACCAGAAAGACAGAGACGGAGAGACAGAAAGCAAGAAATCACCCCCCCAGGGAGGATGGCCACGCTACAATCCCTTCTCCTCCATTCTCCTCTTGGGAGCACATGTACACGTGCCTGGCGAGAGTTTAAGCCACCAAGTTTGTTTCTTTTATACTCAGAATATTTTTTGATAAGTATTAACAGTTTATTAAAGCTGAGCTTTCTCACTCTGAATTTTAATCCTATCCCAATAACACCTAAATCTTATCCAAGAAGCTATCATGTAATTACTAACTATTCTACAGGTCTAACAGTCTATTCAAGCAAAATTAGTACTACAGATAGTCATCTCCTATAGATAAATCAAATCATCCATTAGCCTTAGTTTCTTGAACACTGAAGACCTGGAGTCAACCTTTCAGAGGCATTCAGTACGAAATATACAGCAGGTTATTATTGGCCAAGTAAACTGTCTAGAGATCTTTTCTACTGTCTACTATACCTATTACAGATCACTGGAAACACTAAAATAGATTTTAAGCAATTGATTTCAATCCAAAAAATAAAAGGGGAGGGGGGATGCGGTTTGTTTCTTAAATGAGAAAATATAATTCTGTATACATTATGTACTATAAATGTATAATTATATGTTATGTCAACATCTAAATATATATCCCTATAGCTCTTGATGAATATAAATATAATTCTGTACACATTATGTACTATAAATGTATAATTATATGTTATGTCAACATCTAAATATATATCCCTATAGCTCTTGATGAATATATGAGGGAACTTCAAAAAGTTCATAAAAAATTAAAGTTATGAGTTTATTTTGGTATAAAACTTTTTGAAAACCATGCAATTTTTTCATAATGCACATTTTAGACAAATTGTTGAGGACCTCTCATATATAATTATATATAATATGTCCAGAAAATATACTTAAGCTAAACAGTTTCAAGAGAAAATCTAGCTTTCTTCAAGTCTTTCTCCTCATTTATAGTTCTATTCCTATATATAAACAAAACTGAATATAAAGAAAAAAATCACATTAAACTGTCATAAGACAAAATCATTCTCTCTTTGCTTCATTTGGCACACATTAATATAAATAAAATAACTGTTTTCCATAAGAAAGATTCATAAACTTCAGCACATGTATGCTTAAAATATGTTTAAGTATTAAAAGAAAGGAAAAAATGTTTAAGCTTTTAAAAATGTTGTTCCATTATGCTATTTCTGTATTTTAAATAGTTTAGTAATTTATTATAAAATAAGCAATATTCTTGCATCAGAAAAAATGCCTGGGGCAAAAAGAAGTGGAATCCTCAATAAAGAACTTTAAGGAGACCAGCAGTTAGCATAATGGCTATGTCGCTGAACTCCCATGTAGTTGACCGCGGTTTGAGTCCTGGACCGGGTGGTTTAAACTCACACAGGGCGCGTGTGCATGCGTGCCCAAAATCCTGAGAGGAAAATGGAGGAGAAGGGGCTGCAGAGTGGCCATCTCCCCTGGGGGGGTGATTTCTCGCTTTCTATTTCTCTGTCTTTCTCTGTTTTTCTAGCGAGTGCGTGCACCCTATAGCAAAAACCTCTCCCCCAAAAAAAGAACTTTAAGGAGAAAGCTATTTTTAAGAAAGATTTCTTATTGATTGAATCAAATGTCAGAAATCTAAGCTAGAAAATTTTGCTATATCTAAATATAATTTCTGTCATTTATAACTCAATGTTTAGCTTATATTTTAAAAGTAAAAATCAGGAACAGGTGGCCTGGTGGTGAAGGAGCTGGAGACTCGCATATAGACAACCATGGTTTGAGTCCCAGACCTGGTGGCTTGCTTTCTCACTTTCCTTCTCTCTGTGTGTCTGTCTTTCTCTGATCAAATTAAAACAAATGAATGAACAAGTAAAATAAAATAAATAATTCTTATTTTAAAAAAAAAAAGTAAAAATCTTCCTTCATCATAAAAATATATACACATGCCACCAAATGGCGCAAGAATAATGTAGAATACTAATAACTAATAAAATAAATAATTCTTATTTTAAAAAAAAAAAGTAAAAATCTTCCTTCATCATAAAAATATATACACATGCCACCAAATGGTGCAAGAATAATGTAGAATACTAATAACTCTTCTTTCCAAATTGGCAAAAGGGGTTTGATTTAATTTAAAAGAGATAAACAAATTAAATGTTTGGAAACGTTCTTTAACTTACCACTCTACAGGACTACTCTTCTTGGGGCCAGCAGGTGGCATGAAAGTTAAGGGTGCTGGACTCCCACAAGGCCTACAGTGGTTGAGTTCTGGACCTGGCAGCTTGCTCTCTCACTCCTTCCCCACCTCCCATCTCCCTCTTGACCCCCCTATCCAGCCATCCCTCTCTGGTTAAATTTAAATACATACATACATGCTAAATATAATAATTCTAAAAAAGACTACTCTTCTTCACCATATCCATGTTCTTGCTCTATAAACCTAATCAAAGTAATGATCAGGTTTATTTTTAGATAAAAGCAAAAATTAAGGGCCAGCCAGTGGCATGGTGGTTGTGGCAGCTGGATTCCAAATGGCCTACTGTGCAGTCCAAGCCCCAGACTCGGCGGCTAGAGAAACATACCAGGCACATGTGCATACGTGCCCAATCTCGAGAAAAGAATGGAGAAGAGGGACTGCATCAGGGCCAACCCTCTAAAGGGTGATTTCTTACTTTCCCTCGCCTTCTCTCTCTTTCCAATGAGTACATGTACACTCTAGCAAATAAAAAGTTTAAAAACTTAAGGCAAGCATTTTGAAAATTGAGGGCCAGCAGGTGGCATGGTGGTTAAGGCACTGGATCCTACATGGCCAACTCTGCAGTTCTCAGATCCAGCAGTTTGAAAAGCGTATTGGGCACATGTGTGTGCATGCCCAAAATCCTGAAAGAAAACTGGAGGTGAAGGACCATGGTGTGGCTATTCCCCATGGGAGGTGCTTTCTCACTTTCCCTGTCTCCACTGAGCTCTGTCTCCAGTGGAAAAAAAATGATGAAAATTGAAGAACCATGTTTTCTAAAGTATCTTATGCAGTACGAAGAGAGATGCCAGAAGTAGAGCAGCATTTCCTCTAACCACCAGTTCACTATAGTCACGTCCTTAATCTCATTTTCCTACAGGAATACAGGTAAAAGTACACACAAGGAATCTGTTAATGTTTGGTCAAGACAAACAAGCCTGCAAGAATTCACAGAATTGGGAAAATCTCCTAAAGAAGCTTAGTAAAAGTGACCTGTTTAAAAAAGTTAGAAAATCAAATTGACAGCGAGATAAAGCAATCAAAGAAAAAGGCAATTTCTGTAATATTTATAATCAATATTTTGAAAAACAATTTTAAAAGAAGATTCTTTTCTTGGAACTACAGCTTATGAAGCCTTGCTAACAGTATATCTTATTTCATCTAAAACAAACTTACTGTACCTTTCTCTGCTGCTTTTTGAAGGGCTTCCTCAATTCGGGAGAGCTCTTTCTGCTTAATTTCCTGCAAGGATTTTTCTTCTTTTTCAGCATCATATTTGATACCTAAAGATACATAGTTCATTCACACAAAAGAAATGGAATTAGTAAATTAACGAGTGGGGAAAGTTCAGCCTCATTATGACTGTGTGTGTATGTTTGTGTGCACAGAACATAAGCTATCATTTTGTTAAGTTCAAAAACACTTCTGCATTTAGTTTTACAAAAAGCTTAAGCACAAATGATTCCTATTTACTTATAAAACTTACAACAAAAAGAAAAGGAGAAAGAAAAACAGAAAGAAGGGAAAGA